ATTTTGAGGTTTGATGCTCTATAAAACCTTTAACATAATTTAAGACAAAGTGTGAACAAAAGTAGCTAATTTTAGAAATCCAATTTTTGTGAACTGATTGGTGATCTCTCTGCTGTGGGAAAGGATGATCTGTGTTATGCTTTAGCTCTGAAATTCACTGTTTTTGTGTGTGGGGGGGATATGTAAAACCAATTTTAGTAGAAACTTGAAGAACTGAGGACTTTTTATTCTTCAAAACCATATGCCTTTCAAGATAAATTATCTACCCCATTGGTTATGTCTATACACAGAGATATGTTGTCATGAAGAATTTCAGGTTTATATTGTCCACTCTCATGGTTTGATGGAAAAACTTTTTTCCTCTTTTCACTTTTCACGGGAAAGGGAGCTATTTTGTTGTCTCTTACAGGAAACTATTATAGATTCTAAATATTTAAACACAATTCTTCCAGGTTGTATCTTGGGTATATGTTATTTTCTCTCCTTTCAAGAGTAATTTCTTCTTGAAAAATGCTTTTTATTGGGTATTGGTTAGTATGAGGGGATTATTGTTGATTTTGTTAGATGTGCAACAATATTGTGGTTATGTGGCAAAATATCCTTGTTTTTTAGAGATATATAATAAAGTATTTAGGGGTTAAATGTCATGATTATTGTAATTTTCTTTAAAATTCTGTATCATAAGAATAATATAAGGTAAAATAGAAGCCATTGTTACATCTAATCAGTGGATGTTTGTGTATTCATTACACCATTCTCCGTACTGTATGTTTGTAATTTCCATAATAAAGAGACAAAAAAATGACTTTCAATAAAAATGAAAAAAATATGTATGAGACTTGTGGACTCCTGACTTCCTGAAAATGGGAGGGGATTTTTTTTCTTACAGACTAATTTTGGAGGATTCTTTGTATTCTTTCCAGTCATTTTTAACTTATTTCTTAAAATGTGTATTCATATAGCTATAAAGCATGGAATGCTCTATTGCACAGTAAAGCTTTCTTTTTAGTAGTTTGGTACATTTTTAACCATTAAATAAGTATCCCTAAAATTGAGACCAAGGTTTATATCACTAAAACTGAAACCAAAGTTTCAGATGATAAAGTGTGCCTAAAAATATAAGGCTTAGATCCCAGTCATTTATCTTCTGATCACATACAGAAAATTTGTTTCAAAAATTTAATATATACACATTATATGCACTTGGTATTAAAATTTCCTGGTAGTCTTAAATTTGATTAAAACCCCAAAATGTGTATGAAAATATTAATCACTGATAATTATTTTTCTTGTTCGGGGTAAGAATAGGAACTAAGTTAACCATGTCATTGCTTGAGTAAAACACTCTGCTTTGCATTTCTCCTGATTACTACTGTGTAATATCTCAAACAGGGAACTTAACTGCTTAAAAAGGAATTCTTTTAAATTTCATTGAAATATATATTCATTCGTTGAACTGTGTATGTACATATATATCCAACTTGGTATTGCCTGATAAAATCATATAGCAGCCAGAAAACTAGTTTTGAGATCCTCAAGGTAAAGAAAGAGAACAGTTCCAAGTATCTTCATGAAGAAGGATGACATTCTTATAGTTTCTTATTTAATAGTTTCCAAGCATTTAATGTAAAACCAGGAAAAGGGATAAATATTACAGAAAGTGCCATGTGGAAATGAAACACATGGTATTCTTTAGGTGCCATAGATATTATTCTCTAATAAATTTTTTAAATGTATGAGAAAATACAGTAATATTAACTACTAATTAATACTCAGTGTTAAGGATTTTAAACCTGATAGGTTGATGTCATTTAAAAGAGAGACTGAAAATTTGGAGGCAAAGAGTTAATGATGAAAATAATGTGGGTTTTTTTTTTGTATTCTTTTTGGTGATAGCTCTTCTGACAGGTGTGAGGTGATGTCTTGTTTCCCTGATGATTAGTGATGTTGAGCATCTTTTTTTCCTTTTTTTAATGTTTATTTATTTATTTTGGCTGTGCCAGGTCTTAGCACACAGGATCTTTAGTTGCAGCATGCGGACTTCTTAGTTGCGTCATGTGGTCTTATTGCGGTATTCCCCGACCAGGGATGGAACCCAGGCCCCCTGCATTGGGAGCATGGAGTCTTACCCACTGGACCACCAGGGAAGTCCCTGAAAACAATGTTTATGATGAATTATCATGTCAGTGTGTGCAGGAAGAGTCTGGGCAGAAAGTCTGAAGTGAATCGGTATGTCTTCTAGGTATCATAAGACAAGCAATGTAAACAATTCAGTTAAGCAACATTTATTTCTTTAGAGCTCATAATATTAGGCAATATATTATGTGCTTTACCTTAATTTCCTCATTTAAGTATAGAGTTGCTAGGATGAGATACATCAGGGGAATTCCACAGTATCTTTATTTCAGCAGAAGAATTTCGTTCTCACCAGTCATGTGACTATGATGATGAAATACTGGATAAATGTGAATCCTTTAAGGTACAGTCACAAGTGGCCCAGTTTAAGGCATACTGAGAATGGCTCTGACCAACTAAGTGAGTCTTCCAGGGCCAAGCCGTTAGGCCCTCTTCTTGGCCTTGAATTCTTCAACATTCTTATTGAAAGCTATAATGAACCCCAAAGTCTTGCTTATCAAATCAGTAGATGATGTGAAGCAAGATAATTTATTTCAGGAGATGGTAATGAGGGTTTAAATCTGGGAAAAAGCCAAGGCATAATTTGGAAATAAATATAAGGACCTGCAATTAGATTAAAAAAAAAATCAACTGCACTTGGCATGACTGGGTTAATATGTAAAAAATCTATGACTTTTTAATGCTTACTTTGAATCAAACTGATGATAAAATTGCTTTAAAAATGTCATCTTGGGATGCATTAATAAAAGTATTCTCTCTGATTTGGGGAGATAATAGCCTCACTGGACTCTTATAAACTAATCCATGCTCATTTTAGAAGAATTAAGATGCGCAAAACCAAAAAACCCTACAATCCTTCCACTCAGATAATATATATGCACACACGATGCATGTACTTTGTATAGATTTTGTAGTTGTCTTCTTTTTTGCTGAAATGTTCTTGGTGGCAGCAGAAGTGTGTATCTATGTCCTTCAATTCTTAGATTCTGCCGAATAAGGTCTTCTCTTGGCAGAGAGTCCCACTTAGACCTTCAGAGCCAGAAAGGCAGTTTCATTGGCACCCCCTGGGACCTTGTTAGAACTATTAAGTGGGGCAGACCAACTGAATCAGAAAGTCTGGGGCTGGGGCCTAGCGATCCTGCAGTTCAACAAGCTCTGCAGGTGATTCCAATCCACTCAGAAGTTTAAGAACTGACCTGAGTTTAACCCTTTGATTTTTCAGATAAGGAAGCTAAGATCCAAAGAAGTCACATATTAATTTGAGAAAGTGCATACTAGAATCTTCATGCAGTGATACCTAGGATGAAGAATCATCCCTCTGGGGAGAACTGTTTATTGGGCTAATTGCTAAGCAGTATTTGAAAGAATGCTAGGTGGAAACAAGTAATTGGGGAAGAGTCTGTTTAGCATTTAACTTACCCTGGTGGACTTGACACAGTTCCAACAGTAGCCTTTGATTCATTGAACTTTAGTCCGAAAGAAAAGTTTGCTTTATCTAATATGTTAATCCCTGAAGCATGTTTATGGGCCATTTAAGTAACTACTCCATTCCATCACTAAAGCTAATGAATCTCTAGAGTGTGACCTTGCAGCTTTCATTTTAAAGAGCTCTTCACACTTAAGTTTGAGAACCACTAATACAGAAGATGTTTAAAGTGGTTAAGAACAAAACTAGCTGGACTGGAACAACATTTTCAGTATCCTTTAATTTGGGTTCCACAGAGAAAACACAATTTGCTAATGTGCATATAATAAAGCTAATATAACATCATCAGAGATTGCTCCAGAAATGTGTAATGGTAAGGCATTAAAGTGATTTTTTGAGAAAGTATAATATAGTTTCCTCATAATCTGGGAAGAAAAAAATGGGGGGGGAATCACTGTAGGAGGGCCAAGAGATCACAAATACAAGAGTTGAAATAATGAATCTTGCTCTAAACTGCAAATGTAGTCAACCTTGACTTTCCACAGTACAAATAAAGGTCATGGACTTTATACTATCTCAGCAGTTGTCACGAATTTTAGTTTTCTAAGATTGCATTGTGTGTAGTAGTCAGATTTAGGAAAAAAAGATATAGTATCTAAGGAATAACAGAATAATAACTGCAAGATCAAAATGATCTACCTTGAATTTTTGTGTCATTTATCGTTTCCCGAGGTGCTTTAAACTTTTATTTTATCCATGTAACAGCCCTGTGAGGAATGAAAGTACCAGCAAAACCGTTTTCGAAACTTTAAACACGGAACAGACGAAGAAAAAATTGAAGTTGACAGACTCAGAGAAATGACAGAAAAGGTGGTCACTGAGGAAGCGTAGCAAAGAGAGGGGCAAGCGCAAAAAGCTGAAGTCCGGAGGATGGTCAAAGGAGAACAGAACAGAGGCTAACCTGGCCGGGGGAAACGGTGTCAATGGACAAACAGGTGCAAAAAAGGCGAAGGACAGGAAATTTGGGATTAGGAAATTGAAATTTACTTATCTGTACCAGAGAGAATGGATGAGGTCAAAGATGAAGAGAAAAATGAAAAGTGGGGCGGCACTTAAAGCTGCATGGAAGTTTAGTGGGCTGATGTTATCCCTCAGGCCCACCACCATGGGGTTGGGCCCCAGGTTGAGGATAACACCGAGGGGAGTCGCTGAAGACGCGGGCCAAAAGACTGCGGAGCCGGGTGGGCGTTCACGCCGGACTAACAAAGACAGCCCGGGGCGCTTCTCCAGCCACGCAACCTGCGGGGTCCGAAGGGTTAACCGCGCGCGCTACTCCCGCGCGCATCCCGGCCCCCACTCCCGCGGTCGCTAGGAGACGCCGGAAGTGGGGGAGGGGCGGGCGGCGCGACCAAGGGTGGGAATCTTTTTCGGGCTCCCGGAGGCGGAGGGAGGCGAGCGCGCGTGCGCGCGCCGTGCCGGCCGTCGCCGCGGTGACCGTCCTCGGAGTCCGTCGGCTCGCGCCCCGCCCCCGTTCCTGCTGCCCCCTCCCCTGTCGCTGGCGGGGAGTGTTTCTCGCTCCTCCCGGTTGCTGCCGCCGTCGCCGCCGCTCCTCCTCTCCCAGTCTTGGGTTTCCCTGGCGCTACTGCCGCCACTGCCTCTGCGGTCTGTATGAGGAGGAGGAGGATGTGAAGATGGCGGAGCTGCAGATGCTGCTGGAGGAGGAAATCCCGGGGGGCCGCCGGGCCCTCTTCGACAGTTACACGAATCTGGAACGGGTGGCCGATTACTGCGAGAACAACTACATCCAGGTGCGACGCATCTCCCGGCCTGGGCGCGTCGGGCCTCGGGGTGGTGAGGGCTCGTGGGGGACCCCCGGCCGGGGGCCGCGCGCCTGGGGGCGTAGGGCGCGTGGGGTCGAGGCCGCGGCGGGGATACAGTCCAGCTGACCCCCATGTAGCGGGGGGAGGAGCATGGTGGGAGCTGGGGTTGGGGAATGGGTGAGAATTCTCCGGTTGGAGGAAATTGTAGCTTTAAAACATTTTAAAAAGCCATGAATCAGCCCTCGGTGCGGGTGTGGTGTGTGCGTGTGTGTGGTGTGGTGTGTGTGGGTGTGTGGTGTGTGGTGTGTGGTGTGGGTGTGTGTGTGTGTGTGTGTGTGTGTGTGTGTGTGGTGTCCCCCGCCTCCTCGCTTCTTCCCTCGGCCGCCTCCGCACTCGGTGCCAGTCAATTTTCGGGATGGCGGAGGAGGCGGAGAGTGGCATTTTCTATTTGACAGAATCTTGCTCCCCCATATGGCAAGGGTGTGGGGGGATTGATGGGTCACCCCCATCCCCCAAGCTCTGGAGGATTTTTAAGGGGTTATATTGCTGCAGAGTAAACTGTGTCAGCTTTCTATTCATTTGAATGCATCAAAAGATCGGTTTTTGTTTTTTTGCTTGTTTTTAGGTTCTAACTGGGGATACAGTATAAGAGTAAGCTGTCCCTTGTTGGAAGTTAATGCCATTTTTCTCCCTATAGAGAGTGAGAAGCTGCATGATAAGGAAATCTTCCGTCCCGCCACCTCCCTTCAGTCCCATTAGAATAGGTAATTTGTCTTTGGGGAAAAAATTGGGGATTATTTTTCAGAGAGAATTAGGAAATGATCCTCATGGTTTAGTTTTTCCTGTGATGATTGGTTTGGCACAGGGACTCAGTGGTAGCGCTGTATGTATGTGTATGGAGGCGGGGGATATTGGGTGAGATGAAATCCAGCTGCTTCTGGAAGAAGCAAAAGACTGTGGATTAAAAAAAAATTCCTCTTTAAAAATTATATGAAAGGATAGTTTAAAACGCACAGTTTGCAAAGTCAGTATCTTTTGTTTTCTTTATAGCTTATTCTGAATCACAGGTTCTACCTCCATTTTTTCCCTTCCCATTTATATTGTCTTGGGATGAAGGTGGAAATGGAAGAAATAAGTTAAATTGTTCCTTCACTATGGTCTTTTTTTCCTGTTCCCACCTCCATCGCTCCAGGCATCCTTCTTAACATCCGCTGTATTGGGAAGCATTCTCAAGTCTTGGTTTAAACCAAAAAAAATAGGTGTTAAAATTTACAGGTTCATAAATTTTTTAAGGACCACATGGTTGATCAAGGATAGTATTGTGAGATTTTGCTTGATTAGACATATCCTGAACTCTGTATTTTCTTGTAGGGAATATTTGTATTGGAGAATAAATCAGACATAACCCAAGGCTTTTCCCTCCAAAGAGGCAGTTGAAAGTATGGCTAGTAGGAAAAGAAAGAATGTGACTTGGGTCAAAGATTCATACAAAAAGTACAGTTGTCCATATTCATCAGGTGCTTTGCTGATACTGAGTGTGGTAGGAGAGATTCAAAGGTTAAAATGCTCAGTTTTTCACTAGATACATTTGAAAGTCTATAGCCTGGCACTGTGTCAAGTGTTGATTCATACCTAGTGTCCACAGAATCTCATAGTGTAGTTAGTAGGAGAGGCTGATCTGTGAGCAAATGAATACCATGTAGTGTGTCAGTTTATACTCGTAATGGGCTGCAGGTGGGAAGAAGGAAGAAGCTATGCTGTCCTCACTCTGGGAATTCACAGTCTCTAGGAGAGGCAAATTAAAAGGACTGAAGTTGTTATTACAATCCCCTGTGCAACATATTATGAGAAAGAGTTACAGGTCAGAAGAGAAATTGAGGGTGGAAAACTGATTGGGTTGCGGTTATCACCACTAAATTAAAAAATAAAAGAAAGAAACAGATTTCTCTCTCTTTGGAAGATAATTTTTATTGTAATTTGAAGGTATAGTTCCTCTTATATTACAGTTGTTACATAAAGGTAAAAGTACCTGAATTAATAAAGCTGAGAGAGTAAAGGGATCAACAACTGTCATCTTTTTATATATTTTATGCATTTATTCCAGTTTAAGAGAGAAGAATGTTACTGCCATCATTTGTCTTAGCAATGGGACTCAGAATTTAATGGGATGGTATTTTAAAATTCAAAGTATAAATACTGGTTAATAGAAATGGACTTGGGTTTTAAAATATCTTATTTCTTCAACTTAGCATCTAAAATAAACTTTACACTTTTACCTCTTAGATTATCATCTGTGTTAAGATCCAGTGGGGATATTGTTGGGGATCTCTCCCCAGATGACAACTCTTACATGATTTGTTTGTGGTAAAGTTGATAAATAGAAGATGGTGGTAGTGGATTTGTGCTGACCCAGCTGCTCATTTGCCTGGCTCTTCTTGGTGACCCGCAAACTGACCAGCAGGAGTTTCGATGCTGCCTGTGACCCTGCTATAGATGAAAGTCATTTGGTGGGATCGGTGATCAAATGGTCAATTTAGCCTTATTATAGCATCATGTCCTAACCATTAGCTCAAGTTAACTCACCCAACACTCATTTTATTTTGTGGAAATATAATTTTTGCCTGTAAAGCAGGAAAAAGGCAAATCTACTGATCATAAGTAACAAATGACAAGGTTCTTTGCTCAGTGTCCTTAAACAGCTGGTTTTATGCATTGGAATATAAAAAAATAAGGTAAATAAGAATATTCTAAATGTGGATTATATTTAGTGTGAAGATTGAGCAAAGGAAAGAAAATGGTGTGCTGTCCTTCTGAAAACAAACATACTGTGTTTAAATTATTTCTATCATGAAAATGTCCTTCAGAAATGTTATCTATTGGCATTAGGAGTGATCAGATATTACCTGTATTAACACACACACACAATCTACAGGTACAGCAGAGTTGTAAGTAGTAGTTTTCCAGGTTAATAATGCAGTTAACATTAGACATTTAAAAATCATCTTTAGTAAAAAGTTAGATGATTCTGTTTTATTTCAACCTCTAGAAAAAGTGATAGTCAAAATATTTTTTCTAAAATGTGATGATAAAAAGTGATAACTACAGTTTCCTGTTTCCCCCATTGCTTTTCTTTCCTGTAAAAAGGATTAAAGTTATTGTTAAGGACCTTTTGGAGATAAATGTAAGACCTGTGTTTTTTTTTTCTTCATTTATAAATATAAACATTGATTCCTAATCTAGGAAGTGTCCAGAAACTTTAAAACATTTTTGATTAACTTGGAATCTACATATTTACAAATGGAGAATTTTATAATAACATGGGTTGCTTTAATGCTTTGGTGGATGAAGTAAGATTATATTTGTTACTTTGCTAAAGTAAGTCTGAAAAGCCAACTTATTCATATTTATATTTTTCCTTTTCTTAGATAAAAGAAAGTTATTCCTTTTTGTGAGTGTTAATTCACATAGATACATAGTAAAATCCCGTTGTCCACTGTTTAGATTAAGAACAAAGTCATCCAGTAAAATGGCTTTGCTCAGAAGAACAGAAATTAAGAATTTACCTTAATGTTTTGATAAATGCTGGAGAGGGTGTAGAGAAGAGGGAACCCTCTTGCACTGCTGGTGGGAATGTAAATTGATACAGCCACTATGGAGAACAGTATGGAGGGTCCTTAAAAAACTAAAAGTAGAACTAGCATACGACCCAGCAGTCCCACTACTAGGCATATACCCTGAGAAAACCATAATTCAAAAAGAGTCATGTACCACAATGTTGACTGCAGCACTATTTACAATAGCCAGGCCATGGAAGCAACCTAAGTGTGCGTCAACAGATGAATGGATAAAGAAGGTGTGGCACATATATACAATGGAATATTACTCAGCCATAAAAAAAATGAAATTGAGTTATTTGTAGTGAGGTGGATGGACCTAGAGTCTGTCATACAGAGTGAAGTAAGTCAGAGAAAAACAAATACCGAATGCTAACACATAATATATGGAATCTGAAAAAAAAAAAATAGGTTCTGAAGAACCTAGGGGCAGGACAGGAATAAAGACGCAGACGTAGAGAATGTACTTGAGGACATGGGGAGGGGGAAGGGTAAGCTGTGACAAAGTGAGAGAGTGGCATGGACACATATACACTACCAAATGTAAAACAGATAGCTAGTGGGAAGCAGCTGCATAGCACGGGGAGATCACCTCGGTTCTTTGACTATCTAGAGGGGTGGGATAGGGATGGTGGGAGGGAGATGCAAGAGGGAGGGGATATGGGGGTATATGTATACGTATAGCTGATTCACTTTGTTATACGGCAGAAACTAACACAACGTTGTAAAGCAATTATACTCCAATAAAGATGTTAAAAAAAAAAGAATTTACCTTAATGTTTTCTCTGAAATCTTTCTTTTGAATAATGGGAAAGATGTTGTTAATAGCTTTCCTTTTTTCTCATTATCAGCAAGGATACTCTCAGAATTCATTAAAAATTGCAGGAAGGGTTTATAAGGGCATAACAGAATCATGGCTTACTAGTCAGTTTCATTAAAAAGTAGTTACTAAAATGATATAAAGATTGCACATTCCTAATAAAAACCATTAAAATGCATGCTTATTGTTGAAAAATTATTAGAAAATACAAATAAATATTAAGGAACAAACTTAAAATTGCCTAATCATTTTGAATATACATCTGGTATTTATACTTTTAAATCTTTTTGACATGTACATCTACGTATCATATATTTTAAAAATATTATGTTCATGTTCTATATTACCTTTATACCTTGCTTTAAAAAGAGACTTTTAGTGGTGGTAATCTTTGCTTTTTATGATGGTCATAGAGTATACAGAAAGGAGGTTTGTATTTATGTGTTTAACTTCTGTTTGTTCTCACAAATAGAATAATGTTAAAAGTACCTAGAATGAAGAAGGAGAAAGTAGAAATTTGAGGACTGATGTTTGAATCCTTCCCTGTAACTTTT